CTCTGAATTTGGATTTTACTCTTAATGTATTAAAGGCCATTGGGATCCCTGCAACTTTTGCTAGTTGGATTCAGGCTTGTGAAACAAATCCCAAGTGTTCTGTAGCTCTTAATGGTTCTTTGGGACATTATTTTCCAAAAAAGAAAGGGCTTAGACAAGGAGATCCCATGTTTTTTTGTCATTTTGTCACGGCTATGGAGTACTCTCTCATGCCTGTTGACTGATGCTGCAGCTGCAGGGAAAATTCATTATCATCCTCTGTGTAGTGAGATCAAGTTCGCCCATGTATGCTTGGCAGATAACCTTGTTATATTTTTGGGTGGGAAGGTTGAGGATCTTTGAGTGGTTTTGCAGATATTGGAGAAGTGGTATCAGCTGTCAGGACTGAAACTTAATCCCAAGAGACTGAGCCATCAGGAGGTTTATCTGCAGATTCAATGGCAATTATTTTGGCTATCTCTGGATTTGAGCAAGGTTCTTTGCCGGTTAGATATGTTGGCGTCCCTCTTGTTTCAGGCAAGCTCACTGCGATTGGCCTTTTCAAAAGCTGTCATTTGCAGGAGGGCTCCATTTAATTTCTTCAGTATTGCTAAGCATATCCAATTACTGGTGTAATTAATTGTTTTTTACGGAAGTGATCATGGAAGTTGAGCAGAAATGTATTTCCTTTCTTTGGAAAGGGTCAGCCACTCATACTCGAGGGCCGCCAGATTTAGCAGCAAGATAGCTTGTATTCCTAAGAAAGAAGGTGGCTTGGGTTTAAAGAGGCTTGCACACTCGAATATGGCTTGCATTTTTTAAATATATCGCCGATGATGATAAAAGCAGCCTCTGTATGGGTAGCCTGGATAAAAGCAGCCTCTGCTGTCATCAGAAACATAGACTGCGCTGGGCCGAGTGCTAGATCTGAGAACTAGGTGACTGTTCAATCTGCTCTCTGGTGTCCTATTTCCTATTGATGCTACTGAGCGAGAGATGGGGCATTCTTTGTTAACAGTGCATGGAATGAGCTGATAGATGAAAGAGATCGAGTAAAATGGAGTCGCTTTGGTTTCCCTTATATGGCTAAGCACTCTTCAAGGAATGCTTCAGTTGATTGTTGCTTGTGTGGAGACACCGATGAGTCAAGGGGTGGGTCCTCTCATTGTTGAGTGCCGCTTTGCCAGGGGGTATTCGGCAGAAGATTCTTCATCTATGCCACACACAGAGAACAATTGATACTTGGAATGTTGAGCCGTAATGGGCTTCTATGCACTTCAAAAGCAAGTCATGTTTGGCGAGCCAGGAACGACAAAATTCATTCTGTGCGGAAGTGTTTCTAGTGTGCAGGTATTATTTGACATCAAAAGTGATGTAAGATGTAGATTGTACAAAGAGAAGAAAACTGCTGCTGCTATTTTTTCTTGTAGTTCCACTTGGTTGTGACTGGAGATTCAAAGCTGGATGATCTGTTTTTCACTGGAGCATGTAAAGCAAGGTTGGTCCACTTGCACATGGTTTGATTCAATGAAATAAAAAGCGTACTAATCTATATAAAAAAATGTCGCAGAAATATTTGCGAGATCCGGCATAATGTCCCGGTTTCTTCAAATGTGATTCGAGTTGATCTAACAAGATAACTATAGGTGATTACTGAAACATAATCACCTATAGTGAATTGGTGAACACAGCCATCAGGAGGCTGCCGCGTCGATGTTGTATTGGTGAATATAGCCATCATGTATGCTAAGAAATTTTTATAATCTCTGTGATGTTGTATTGGTGAATACAGGCATCAGGGATCTGAAAAGGCATGCATTATTGTCATTGCCCTTACTACATCTATCTTGAAGAGTAACTAAACTATCAGCAGAGGTGGTAAATGGGTCAAGAACTCATTTGTTAATCCATATATAGTGATTGTGGGTCATTAATGGGTTGGCTTTAGTTTAAAAATAGACTTAAATCGGTCATTAATGGATTGATCTGTTAACTTAATGGGTATTAAATGGGTCATAAATGGGTTACCCAACAAGTTTAAGTGAATAATAAACATGTTATCTTCATTATTTTTTAAGTTTTTGGTTTTTAAATTTTTTATATTATTTTTCTTTTCTTTTTCTTTTTTCTTCTTCCCGCCGGTGGAGGGCCATAGGCGAGGGACAAGCTCGCCAGAGGCCGGCGAGGGACAAGCTCGCCGGTGGCCAACGAGGCCTCAAGCTCATCGATCTAGCGAGCTTCGGGCCTCGCCGGCCTCAAGCGAGCTCAAGCTCGCTGATCTAGTGAGGTTGAGGCCAGCCAGCCCCCAGCGAGATCGAGTCTTGCCAGAGGCCAGCGAGGCCCGAAACTCGCTAGATCGGCAAGCTCATCCCTCGCTTGTGACCGGCCGTCCTCGTGGCCGGCCACTGGTAGGGAAGAAGAAAAAATAAAAAAAAATAAAAGAAAATTAATTAAAATATGATTTTTAAAAATATAAAAAAAACATTTTCATTTTCCTGAAAACATTTTCTAGAAATGTTATATTTTTCGCGAAACAAACAAAGCATCAATTTTTTAAAAAAATATATATATAAATTATCCACTAAATTTGCATTGCATGAAAATATTTTAACAATACAATTTTTTAAAAATAATTATCAGAAATAAGCTTTCCTATATATAATTAAATGGGTCGGGTCGGGTATCGATCATGTATCGATCGAGAAATTTTCCTTGCGATAAATGGGTCATAAACGGATTAAATGGGTTAAGTTGGGTTGGACCATTTATGACCCGATCCGACCCACCCGTTTAACAGATCTAACTAGAGGTGTGCAAAGGAACCGAGAACTGCTCGAAATCGAACCGGACCAGCCTGGAACCGACGGTTCCCGTGAAGACCGGTCCGGTTCCCAGTTCTAATTTACTAGAACCGGTAAGTACCAGTCCGGTTCCTGGTTCTTAGCGTGGAACCGTCCATTCGGACCAGGCCGGTAATATATATAATTTTTTAGAAAAAATTTAACCCAAAAAAAAAACATTTTTAGAAAAATGAAAACCATAAAATCCCTAATCTAAAGCTCAACTCTCAACTTCCATCAACTCACGGTCGTGCCTTTAGCCATTTATCGCCTCCCTCTCTCACTTTCGGTCACCTCCATTTGCGTGAAACTTGGTGAGGCCGGTTCCATGGACCCACCCGGGAATCGGACCGGACCGGCAGTCTACTTCTCGAGTGGACCCATGGAACCAATGGGCTGTTCCCGATTCAAATTTTTCGGAACTGGTCTTTAGTGGGCAGTTCTCGGTTCCATGTCGGGAAAAACCAACAGGAAGAAACACAATTCAAACATCCAAATAGTATGTCTGACAAACTGCTGGAACATTATTAGAACATACACATGACGAACAACAATATCATGAGATAGAACAAAGAGCTAAGATCTACACATGATTTCGGAAGGATTTCCCTGGAAAGGATAGTCAAAAACAACTTCAGCATTTTAAGAAGCTCTACGGAGGTTTGGAACAACTCAGGCTGCTTCAAACAGTTTCCACGGATCCACTTTTTCCAACAGATTTTGGTTCATTGGCGAGGATCGCCATTTTATCCAACACGAGTGCATTTCCAAGTAGAAACGTTAGTACAGCAACTAAAGTTTTCGGACTAAGATAAACAACTCCAAAACTAACAATCGCGACATGCTTGAGCCTAATCATACACTCAATTAAGCGCAGGACTCTAATTGTGGAATTATACCATATGAATATTGTTATAATATCCGGTAATCTAATTACAAAACTATTCATAATATTATCAACTAAATAGTTAATTACTTGGTTGAACATAACATCAAGCATAATGTCTACACTGCTAGGATCGATAACAAGACAAGCATATGTATATCTCGCCATCGATTGCAACAGTACTTGATATCAACCCAACAATTTTAATTACAAGTCCTGTCTATCATTAACTGTATCCAATAGATCTCATCAACAATTTCCTAAATCATGTATTGGCGCTGACTTTTAAAATGTCAAGAATTTTAAGAATATATATTAAAAAAAAACCACCCGGATGTGTACATAACAAGAAATGCTCTCAATAAGTAAACACGGTCCGTAAGCAATGGGTGTTTTAGGGATATAAACTCCATTAATTGAGTTGGATTTTCTGTTTTTGGTCGAAATGATACACATGGTAAAGACATGACAAAGGCCAAGTGGGGGTTGTCACTGTCATTGATTTAATATGGATTTCTTAGAACAGCATTACTTTTTTGAATAGGGACTTCCCTACTGGATCGAGGACTACAGAAGGGAATGCTACGGCAACACGTTGCTCAACCTTGTAAAACAATTCTGAAACAAAATACTATCCCATAGCTTGCTTTAAAACGCTGAAAAACTTCCACGAGACAATACCGGCGACAGACCAGGCTAATTGATGTTGTAGCTTACTGTATTCCTATTCCAATCAGGCATCCTTATGGCCAATGCGCATACATTTTGTTGTTACTCTAACTCCTTTCTTCTACCGCTTTCCATTCTCTTCTTCCAGATAATTGAGTATAACAGCAGCATGCTTAGAAGCTTTGTGATAACATTGAAGCCGTCGGGCCACTTTATGCAATTTGTGTGAACCAACTACCTCAAGATGTTGTGATCCATTCATAACTTTGATGACCATATTTTCCAGCACAAATGCATGCCCGAGAAGAAACTTTACCAGCGTGAGCACTTCCTCATAGTCGAATCTTAAACAACCATCAAATCCAAAAATCTCAACATTCTTGAGATGCCGAGCCCAACGCTTGAACTTCTTCTTTATATGCCAATATCTCTCGTGATCAACATTGCAGGAGTCTAAGTCAAATATATTCTGCACAGGGATAAAAAATAGAGTGAACGTCCCAAATAAAACATGATTTTGTTTCCATACTTTAATATCTTAATCACCCGAAAGAATGATCATCTCTTGTCAAGTCAAATCTCTAGCCTACAGTAATCAGATCAGAGGAAATCATAAACGAGGGAAACAAAAATTCGGGTACCCGAGTTCATCAATGCAAGCGCAATCTGCTAATTGTCACCATCACAGTGGCATTCAGAGAGAGAAGGAAAATAAGAATCCTGTTGTGAAACTTTCGGAGCATTATAGAGGGAGCATTTGAAACATAGGCTGCGACAGTCTTGAAACTTCCAAAGCATTATACTAGTTTCGCTAATTGATCGACACAAGAAGACAAAAGAAGCGAGAAACTTTGGATGGTAAATTTCAGTAAATCCTTTGAAATCTTAACCTGGGAATTAGAGTTTAGGGAATATACCGAGTACCGATCATTTGGCTTAAAAATTATAACCAGCTTCTCCAAATTTGGGGTAGTTGCTAGCATATTTGCTATAGCAGGAAAGCTGAATTCAGGAATGGGCACGTGTAGGGTCAGAGATTTGCAATTCGGCAGCAAAACCTGCACATCTTCTACCTTCAGAGGCCGCATAACCTAACCATGTCAAAAGGTAAAGTCAGATCACCAAGAAAAAAGTTTGGGGTCACATCCTTGTATTTGTTATGTCAGCAAAGTATAGCTTAAAATGATAAAACATAGATCAAACTTCCCTCGAGTACATCACAATCCAGTACTTTTTTCCTCATAGAAAATTCAACAACATAACCCCTAAACGTCCACAAGCTTTGGCAGATTAATGTCCACTATCTTAAGTGAAAAGCTACATGGACAAGATAACACGTCCATCAGGAAGCAAGATGACTATTCTCACCCAACAGCTCCAAGGACCGAAAAGTATACGAGTAGCATTCTGCAGCTTGCAAAGCATTTCCTTCAGCGGGCAGAAGTCCGAGACGGTTGGACCGTTGAAATCTAATTCGGCTTCAAGTAAGGATGGTACTTCAACAATTCTTATTATGTCATGAAAATGATCCAATCTCACACGCAATGACAGTAATCGAGGAGCCAAAATGCGCAAACCGCGTACCGCGAGAGAAGCATCAATCACCAACTCTCTCAAACTTCTAGAATTAATTTCTTCTACAGCCCAGAATCTTTCCAAAGTCAAGTATTCAAGAACAGGGCTGCTCATCAAAATCTTCTGAAGCACATCACCAGACACATTGTCAATGGACAAGGACTTAAGTGAACTCCAACTAATACTTTCGCAGGACGGATAAAGACAGCCTCTCAAAACTAGCCTAGTCAACGAAGAGCAATTATAAAGCAATGGAGACAATGTGTAATCCCCCCACGGAATCTGCTCCAACCAATTATAGTCGTAGCAAATATTCAAGTTGAGACGAAGTTCTTCCACTTCATGATCAATCACAAAGTCAACCCATGAATTAATATTAGAGGGCCAGAGTTGCTCTGAATTGAAGTCAAGGTGGAACTTTCTCACCTTACCCCTCCCATATAGCCTCAAAATACTGTCCACGAACGAATCATGATGAGAAGAGACGGAGAACCTGAGATCCGAGACGGTGATCCAGTAAGATCGCCACCTCCTCGACAGAACACAAGTTTTGACAACGTCCCTCGTGGGCAAAAAGGAGAAGATGTGCTCGATTATGTCATCGGGCAACGGACGATCCTCAGTACCTGCCATGGCTTCCGAATGGGTTCTTGGGTTTCTTTTCTTTCTCTTTTCGGGAAAGCATGGACTCTGTGCCTGACAAGCGACAATCCAAGTTGTTGAGATTGCTTAATGGCTTCTGATGGCGGCGGGACACCCGAGGGAGTTCTGGAATTCCCCTACTACGCTTAACTCATAAATATATTTTAAAGGATGGGGATATTTCCATATCTGACTTAATACACTGCATTTTCGGTAGATACAATTCCCTTAATGATTTTTCTATCTTCCTATTTTGCGATTTTTTTTTCTTCGAATTTGAACATATTGCCACTTATACCTTACCAAAAAAAAAAAACATATTGCCACTTATAACATGAAAATTAAGGAAATATTCAAATAAGGACTCGAAATGAGTTTATTCTCTCAAAAAAAGGAGCCTAGGGTGAAGTTATTTCAAATAAGGGTTGAAGTGTCTATTTCGATCTCAAATTAGGACCTGGGCAGGTGACTTTTCCGGTGGCCGGAACAAGAGTATTTTTGTCCAAAAAATTTTCAATAAAAATACCAAATTTATAAAAGTGAAAATCCCAGTTCTTTCTCTTCTCCTTTCCCCAACCCACTCTATGAATGAATGTCGAGATCGTTGCCTGAGCAAGGACCGGTGGGCACCGGCGGTGTGTGACTGGGTCGCGGTGTGTGACCGGTGGCGGCGTACAACGGGGCGGTGTCGATGGGAGGGCGAACGAACCTTATTTGGAAAGGCCCGACGATATTCACCTGGCCGTCGTTGATGGGAGAGTGAAACGAAGCCGAAAACTCCAAGCGGCGTGTGACACGGAAGACAAACATTCACGAGATTATATCTTCTCAGGAATCGTCCATGTTCTGTATCCACCCGAAACTAGAAGCACACTCCTAACCTTTTAGAAAGCAAAAAGGAGACAGAGAGATCCCAACTTGGAACCTGTACACCAATGTATTACAATTTTTTTATGGGAGCAATCAACACAAAAGACTTCATTTTGTCAATGAATAAATAATTTACGCTAAGAAGTCTACATATGGATTACAACTTTTCTACTCATTAAAATATTTAATCTAGAAAATATTTATTTTACCCTAATGAGACCATGCTTTACGGAGTTGAATATTTACTTAGTGAAGGAATATTGGGACCCTATCATCAATTTTGACGGAGTTGTTAAAATTTATCAGCCTACTATAAATTTGGCCACAGTACATAAGAGCCATTGTATTTTTAGCACAACACGAGTTTTCGAATCATTTCACTCGATTGATCTACACATATACATGCTAGTCGTTCTATCCATGTGCATTTGAGAAGCCTCCATTTATAAGATGACATATTTGACTACAAGATTAATCTTAGTAGGAGACATTGTAAATTGAATGCATGATACACTGCATCCAAATCGAGCGCTTAATTACTCCGACTTGACTTATTTTTTATGAAAATATCAACTTACATTGTACAATTACAAGTGTACATATTGAGGCTTTTGGGTAAGTTCCAAGTAAGTGCAAGGTCATTGAACTTTACTCACACTTGTAACGGGGCAAGTCCAGTGCCGAACGTGTCAGATTTCACCAACGAAAAATTGCCGAAAGGCCTGACTAGATGAGAAAAGACAAAATAATTCATACTGTAAAAGATAAACAGATTTACAAACAAAAATTCTCTACTTTCAGAAGAACAACATGAATGAAATGTTAAAAAAGATAAATCAAAATCAGTCATCCTAATACCATGCCTAGAAAGATGCTTTGCATACTGAAATGGTGGGAGACATGAAAATTCTTGAGTGCAGAAAAATCTGCAACACTAAGCAATCAATGAGGCATAATTTGCCATTTGTTGCATGTATATATACCATAGACTTTTTTCTACCAAAGATTTTAGTTGACAGTGGTAGTGAAAAAGAATGTTACAGAAATCTCACCGAGGCATGGGCAGTGTCAACTGCTTAATGTTGCCACAGATGACTTGAAGAGAGAGGAAAGGACACTTGCTACACTACTAGCTGCTCTTAAAGCTGCTGAAGAAGGTTTTTCAAAGAAACAATGCAGGAAATCCTGGATTAAATTGTGTGATCAGAAGTTTGGCTACTTTTTCATAGTTGTTAATGCAGGAAATGCTAAGAATATTGTCATAGTGCTATACAATTCTAATGGTGAGAGACTTGAAAAAGTATGATCATATTATAGAGGAAGCAATTTCATTCTGTAATGGTCTTCTGGGTAGGACAGATAATCAGAGTAATGGAGGTTTAAAGGAAGAGTTGAGATCCATCGTAAACTACTATTTTATCCCTTAAGGACTTTGATACTCTTATATCCCCTGTTACAACGGGTTATATTAAAGTAGCAATTTGGTCAATTAAAGAGGACAAGAGTCCTGGACCTGATGGGTACACATCTTGCTTTAAGTGTGACATTCCGAATTTCGACTCATGTTTGGGATTTATAAAACGTGTAATTCGTCAGTGTGCTTATAATAGAATCTCGCCCGGGAACTGATTACTCTCGGGTTCTTGTTTTTTTAAAATAGAGATTTTGCTAGAATCGCACTTGATCGAATTTGGCCGTTATTTAAGACCCCGAACTTGAAATTTTAGACCGGATGCGGATTTCGACTAGTAGACCTCCTTCGTAGTGTGTTTTGAGTTATTTTATTTTGGTCATTTGTCCTATAATATTAATTATGATTTTTGTGGATCGTTAGATCGTTTTCCGAATTTGAATCGTGACCGTTAGATCGATTTTGAGTTTGAACCGTGTCCATTAAATCGCGCTTGAGTGCGTGTTGACTTTTTGGCTCTCTTCTCTCTCCTCTCTCCTCTGCCGCGCACGTTTCTCTTTTCCCCCCCCCCCCCCCAACGCGTCCGTCCTCTCTTTTCTCTCTCTCTCTCCCCCTCTGACCGTGCACGTCTCCCCCATGCACACGTCCCCTCAGCCCACGCCCATGCGGACCAACCCCCTGACACACTCTCTCTCTCCTCTCTCCTTCTTTCTCTTTTCTTTTTCTTCTCTCTCCCTTTTCTTCTTTTCTTCTTCTTTCTCTTCCTTCTCCGCCGCGTCCACCCGCCTCAGCCCACTTCCTCTTCTTCCCTTTGGCTTTCCGCCGTTCGCCGCCGCCGGTGCCGCCGCCGTGAGCCGCCGTTCCTCTCGCCTCGCCACCACCACCATCCCGTCCCCCTCACCTCTCCCTCTCGCCGTATCTCCCTCTCTCCCGCTCCCCCTCTCCTTCTTGGCCGCTCAAGGGCCTCGCCGGAGCCGCCGCTCGCCGTTACTGTTCCGACGCGGGACCGCCACTGTCCAGCCGCCATTGCCACTTGCTCAGCCCTATTTGGAGCCTAGGAATCTAATTGAGTACAACCCTAAACCCTAATTAGGCTAATTTACATTTCTAAATGAGTTTTATGGGTTAATTAGGGTATTTTAGGGGTTAAATCGTGGAGATTATTGAGGGCTGATCTTGTGGCTATTTTACGGGCTTAGTGTGATAATTTAATCAAGGTTTAGTGGCCCGTATAGTGCTGTGCGGTGGTTGTGCATAGGTGCCTTAATTTGGGCGAAAATGTGAATTTGGCGGGTGCAAATTGAGAACCGAGTGGAGGCTGCTAGGGGCTGATTTTTTGGCGCATTTGGTGGATTAGTGTGATGTTCTAATTGAGGTTTAGAGGTCCGTATGGTGCCGTAAGTTGGCTGAGCTTGGACGCTTTGATTCGGATAGAATTTGTGGGTTTGGCAGGACAAACTTGTGATCCAAACGGTGGCTGTTATCGTGGCTGATTTGGTGGTTTATCGTGTCAATTTTATTGAGGTTTAGAGACCCGTAAGGTGCTGTGCGATGGCTGGAATTATGGGTTCGAAATGGGCCCGAGTTCGGTTAAGTTCGGGCTCAATGGTGGAGTTTTGTGTGCGCCCTGTTCTCATGGGAGCTGCTTTGGATGATGTTGTGGGGAGCCAAGTGAAGTAATTTGAGGATATTTATAGGCCCAGAATAATCTGTTTAGTGGCTGGCCATATCGGGATTTAATTGGACAAGGCGCGGTCAATTCGAGGTTTAATTGTGTAATTACCTGGAACGTTTAGATTGGCGGATTAAGTGGCTGATTTGTACTTGGTTGTGATCAATTACGTGACATAGTGCCATGTGCCTAGTGTGACTAAGAATAGAGTAACTTGGCGGGCCTCGGGTGCGTGAATTCATGTTGATCAAATTGTGCGAATTATATGTGTGATTTATGTGCCGTGCAAGAGTGCCTTGAATTGCTTTCATGGTCATGCTAGTTTATTGGTTGGGCATATTGAAATGTGGATTGAGCTTATTGCGTGGTAAATTGAATATGTGGCGTTGCGCAATTGATTGCTCATTGTGAAATTTGTGAGTGCTCAAGTGTGAATTTCATGGCCATGGGTGTGCATCTCGAGCATTGGCATGGCATGTGCATATATGAGTGTGCACGAATGACATGAGTGTGTGATTACCTAAAATGCCCTGATGCGTTTTACGCGGGGTTCAGATAATAATTGGTGTTTGTGAATGAGTGATCACATAAAGCCCTGATGCGTTTTACGCGGGGTAGTGAACCCGTCACGAGGCGTGTTACGCGGGACGATGCCCGGATTACCGGAAGATGACCAACCTGATGCGTATTACGCGGGTTATGTGTCATGAGCTTGATGCGTTTTACGCGGGCCGGAGATCGATCTCGAAGTGATGGACCTGATGCGTTTTACGCGGGTCGGACCTGATGCGTTTTACGCGGGTCGGAGGAGAATTGATAATTGCAAGTGTGCTGGGGTGCAAGCGTGCGAAAATGCATTGATGAGGCGTGAGCACGCGTATGAGCACGAGCATAAGCATGACATGCGTTGTGACCAAATGATGTGTACATGTGCTGCGACTGGGTCCTATGTTTTATTCTTGAACTGTAAGTGCCTAACCTACAGGGCAAGGCGAGTATTGGATTTGGGCCCGAGGGCCTAAGTCAATTATGATTTGCTTGGTGTGTTGATTAGTGCTCGTCAGGAGGTGCATGTTAGCCTAGTT